TCACTAGTGACCAGTGGTTGCCAGGGGACCACTGACCAGTTTCTAGGCCTATGCGAATGGGGCCCTCACCAATCGATTTCCCAACAGTTGCCAACCAACGACTCGTCCACAGGTTAGAAAATACACATTCCTCCCTCTTGACCACTGCCTGCCAGATGGTTTCAGGCCTTTTTCGTTTGACCTTACATTGTCACATGTCCAAAATAGCAGTTAAGTCGTGGCTAGTGATCACATGACCAGAAGTGTGTGAGTGGATTCAATGGAAGCCAAAGAGCTCGGGTTATTTCATAACAGTAAGTAGAATAGAATAGAATAGAATAGAATAGAATAGCCCTGTCATTGTAAATGTACAAGAAAATTATGAAATTCATTAAATTTTACAATAGTCAATTTTTTATCGTATATTTATTATCTTTTACTTAAATTTGTAGCTTGCATGAGTTTTTCTTGGTTTATGTAGTTTATGCTTTTTTAGTAATTTGTGTGAATTTGCAGCTACTACAATACATTTTCCTTTGGGGGTTAATAAAGTAAATTATCGCTCTTCTTCTATGCTTAAATGTTGGTAATCAGTCAAGAGAGCCAAATTGCTGGATTCACTGTTTCATAATATTCAAAATGTGCTGCAGTTGTGCTATTGCACTGTAAAAGGATTACCTTTTAGTTGATAAGACAGGATTAGCAATTTAAAGACTTCAGTTTTTCCTCTTGAGACTTTCCGATTTTACAAGTGTTTGCCATTTTTTTAGACTGTTTGATAAGTACATACTTATAAGAGGTCAAACAGGTCTTCAGAATTCATAGAAATCTGTTGTTACTTTATTCTTATATGAAAGAAAACTTACACTTCAAGTCTTCTCTTTCATTTCTTTTCTTTGCAGTGTTGAAGTATGCAGCCCTAAATAACACAGAGGACATTTTTTGAAATCCCACACAATTAAAGAAAGTTTACATTTGGATCTTTGCTCAGCTGTTACCAGGTCTTACAGTCCCCCAGTGCAGTAGACTCATGTTAACGGCAGCTGTCATGGTTTCCCAAACATCAAGGTCGAAGGTCAACTGTCGGCCCCCGCAGATTGATTCCCACTCGTCCGGCCAACGTCAGATTCCACGAGCTGGGCTGACAAAGAGGAGCAGACTGCGTGTGATGAGTTGTTTTCACAGCGTTTTCTACTGTATCAGCTAGTCGCTGGTTTTATTGCTGTCTTCCTGCGTTGAAGTGGAGTTTTTCTTTTCTGCTTAGATAAGGCCCAGTGCCCTCGTTTACTCCCAGAAGACAATACACCCACCAGCTTGACGGTTGTTCACTCAAGCGAATGAGTTTCCCACAGGGTCAGGCCAAGTCCTCTCTCCCTGTCACCTCCATGTTCACACAGCCTTTGCTTCACATACATGAAAAACTAATCTCAAAAGCGTTTCTGTGTCAGCGCACACGGACAACAATGTCATTTCCCGTCATATGTGCTCCACACACCAGAGTCCCAGCTATAACATTAACAGTGCAAAAGTTAAATGCTTATAGATGTACATATCATCTCAGTTTTAAGCTGAAAATGACATTTTGTCTGAGAAAATTAGACTGTCAGTGCATTTTGTCTCAGGGGTGAAAGCTCAGACACTTTAAAATGTCAGATTCTCAGCCGCTATCAAAAGCAGCTTTGTTTGTAAGTCGGCCCATGTTGAGTGCCTTTGAGTTAATCATTTAAAAAAAAGAAGAAAGAAACCCACTCGTTTCAGTGTGAACCCGAGATATTTCACATTTTTCTTTTCATCTTCATTTAATTTGTTAGCATACAACCGTTCCACAGGACTTCCATCAACATGATGTCAACAGGTGATCGTGATCCTGATTTGCTGCAGTCTTTGAGGAGCAAAGATGGGCAGATTTGCTCCAGTTTCTCAAGAAATGCAAGAGAAAATTGTAGAAATATTTAAAAATGGTGTTCCTCAAAGAAGAAAGAAATCTGTTGGAATTTCAGTGCATAAAGGGGAAAGGTGGAAGCCTACGCTGAACACTCGTGACCCCAGTCGCTCAGACATCACTGTCATCCGTCAACAGCTGATATAACAATAAAAGCAAAGGATTTCTGTGGGAAACCTTTATGAAGCACTACAATCCCAATTACATTCACAAATGCAAATTTAAATTTTACTGCATGTTGATCTGTGACGATGAAAACATGTTCTGGTCACAACAATCGGTATCCCAGATCTTTGTTTAGAAGACATGGAAACCGTGTGCTCTGAACCAAAGACAAAAACGCCATCCAGACTGTTGTCACCAACAAGTAAAACAACATCTATGCACTTTTCAACAAAACAAAATAAAACCACATTATAAAGGCCCGCCTGCAGTCCTGACCCATCCCCAGTAGAAAATATGTGGAGAATTTTAAAACGCAACAAAAATGCAACAAAGATGTGTTTGCAGGAGGAAAGGTAAAAAATAACACCTGAAACATTTTGTTGCTTGGTATCCTCAGTGCTTAAATGTCTCATATGTGTTTATTGCTTTACTATTCAAATGTTTTTTGGGAATTTGTTGCAAGCCTGAACTGCAGGAATGAAATAAAGTCGATCATATTGTCTGCATTCAAAAGCCAAAGTAAATATGTAAGTGTTTTTTTTAGTCTGCATCGTGCATGTCATCCCAACTTTTTCTGATCTGGGGTTGTAGCACATGATGAACTGTCAGGGCTGGAATCTGCATCCAAAATAACTCTTGCTGGGCTGCCTCCATGTGTCTTTCCTGTCAGTGTTAAAGGTCTCACGGAATAGTTTTGGGGCCTTAGTTGTTGTGTAAAACAGGATGTCGGGGTTGGAAATATTTAGGTGGGGTTTGAGTTAAAAAGTTAAGACAACAAAATCCACTGTTAGCCCCTATTCAACAAGGATGAAGGACTACAAAAAGGATGGTTGCGTGACAGAGCAGCTGATAGTCCACGAGGCATATCAATTACATGGTTATCTTCAGTTTCCATTAATCTAATTTAATGCAAAAATTGTGTGGGGAAAGGCCCAGCTGAATCTTCAAAAGGCTGACCAAGGTGACAAAATTACACGTTTTTTCCAAAAACACAAAGATTGTTGTTTTCAAATGAAATGAAGAAAGCTGCAAATAAACAAAATTGTTACTGAATCTTCTGACCCAGTAAGTGATTAATGGAATAAAAGCTAGAGGTTCATGTTCTTTATCAACTGGCCCAAAATGAAGTTTATATTTCATTAGATCTTTGCAGTCTTTGTGTATGACCCTGGAGTTTTTAAATACTAATATGGCTCTGATTATAATTTAGATTCATTTCCTTCTTTAGATTCTGAGGATTCAGCACTTCATCTGTTATTTGAATGTACTGCAAGTCCATGTAATTATACTTTATTGTCTCTTTCCACAGGGTCAACTCTCCCAGGCCCTCAACGGCCTGTCAGATCGAGCCACTGAGGCCAAAGAGTTCCTGGTTCAACTAAAAAATATGGTCCAGCATATCCAGGTATACGCAGACACACGCACACACGTGGGTTTTTTTTGTTTTGTTTGGTTTTTTGCACACACCCATAATCTGCATGAATATTTTCTTCTACCAAGCTGTAATCCCCCTCTGTGATCCCAGACTGTCCACTGACTGCTGTGAGCAGCAGACACAAAAAGGCTTATTGTATTCATTTGAATTTCTCAATTTCTAATCTTTGGCTTGAACTCTGCACAGGGCCAGATGGGAAGATACTATCTTAATAAAACTATAAAAGATGCTTGCATCAAATTTGAGCTCAGGATGCAAAACAAAGGTGGTTATAAAGATTAACATTTACAGAAACACATGGTTATATTAGCATTAATGGGAATTCCCCTTTATTCACATTCATCTATATTATTTTCTTCCATCTAACACATTAACCAGGTCTAAATTTAGATGCTCATGTGGAGACAAAGCTTTGGTCAGCTTATGAGGGCGATTAGAGGAGGAAAGTGGGATTAAAACCTCTCGTAGATAGTTGTCACGCAGTGTGAAATGGTGAGGGTGAGGTAAAAGAGTAGAGAGGAGGTGACGAGCAACAAAAAAAAACGTAAGATGTGTGAAAAAGTGACAGCGTGAGGCGTAATCGTCAAGTTTATTACTCTGCTGATGCATGAATCATGATGATTTTACTCACGCTTCTCGTCTGAGAAGGAGGTATCTCAGCAAACTATCCATCCCATCATTAAACTCTATTAATTGTGTCATTCCTGTATTTCACTGTTACTCCTGCTATTAAAGTGATGCACACGGCCTTAAAAGTATCCTCCATCTTTTTCTTTTGTTGTTGTTGTTGTTGTTTCCAGCTGCAAATTCCTGCATATTTTCTGTCTTCAGATGCTTTGCTTTTCCAGCTTCTTGTAAATTTTTCCTGCAGGAGAACGGTGTGGAGTTTGAGGCTTGCTTGGTGGCGCAGTGCGACGCCCTCATCGACGCCTTGAACCGGCGCAAGGCCCAGCTGCTGTCTCAAGTAAACAAAGAGCACGAACACAAGCTGAAGGTGAGTGAGCATGACAAGATCTGTTCCTGGAATCCACTTGTATGCATCAGAAGGCTGGATGCGTTAAATGGATAATGAGGCGTTAACCCTAATGAGGCATTGATTCATGAGCCACACAAGTGCAAACCGAAACAATTATCTTAAAAATATCCTTGTTTTTCTTTAGAAGTTGCCAGGTTGGGACTTTAAATTTGATCTGCTTCATAGTGGTTGTTTGCTGCTGTATAATCTTGCAGTGTTGGTTTGACAAATTGAGGGCGGTGATTGTGACTGATGGATGAGCTGGCGCTGCAAGTGAAGTTTCATATTGTAGAGGATAAAATACAAAGTCGTGAGGAAAATCTCTTTGCTCTTAAAGAATCTGAAGTTATGTATTTTTCCAGTTGCATTTTTTAGGTTTTGCAGTATCTTAACGATTTTGATAAAGATTAATGAGAAATTGTACACCGTGCCACCGATTTCAGATGCATAAAGAGCTGCATTTTTCTTTAAGCCATCTGCAACACATTGAACGGGGGACATAAGTGAGATGAGAGGATGGAGAGATACATTTGTGCTGTACAGCATCCAATTTCACACTTGGTTGCTCTGTAGAATTGAGGTTTCACACGTGTAGGTGGTTTGAGGAACATGGCTTGTGCATGGCAACATGTGGGCATACAGGACCAGCAACAGACATTTT